AAATGCCATTTTTGCAGATCTTTGACTTATTGAGCTTCCTACGCAATACATATGTGGAATTTAACTGCTGTGTGTGAAGACTCCTATGCTTAATGCTTCCAGCAGCTTGCATAAGTGAGGTAGAATAAAAGTTTGAGCATGTGAAACGTTAAGAAGTGAAAGCAAGATAAGATTTCTTAAATATTCACAGGAACTTGATCTTGCTCAATTCTGTTTAATTCAGTAATTCCATAGTTTTCACAAATTGTTTTTGTTTATTCTTTCAGGCTAAAGGTTTTGGAACAGATGTTGGAAGATGTTAGCTGTGGATAGAGGGGTTGTGGAAGAGTGGTTGTCGGAGTTCAAGGTAACATATGAGATGTGCAGTACTAGTGTTTGAGTTGCTGCTGGAGCAGTATGCAGGAGTGCTTGATTGTTGTAGAAAATGAAGACAAATTTTAACCTTGAATTTTGTTGAGCTGACATTAAATATACACATTTGTGCTTGAAAGGATTCTTCTTTTTGTCTTTGAGATTATGTACTGATACAGAACAGTGAAAATGTATATTGTGGATGAATGGGGGGAAATCTTCAATGGGCTATGATAAAATAATTTTTATTACATTTTGCTCTATTTCAACTTTTGGCTGAGAATGAACTATAGGCTATCAAGTTGTACTCAAAATACTGGTCTGTCAAATATTTGTGTGCCGTTTACCTTTTACAGAATATATAAGTTATTCATACTCATTCTTTCCAGAGTGCCTTCATTAAGTTTTGTCATTTGAAATTTAACTCTGCACGACAGTAGCTGTTCACCTTAGTTGATGAACTGCTGTGACTTCTCTCGTATCCTGTTCTGACTTGGATTGCTATATGTTTTGCGTTCAAAACGTCATTTACAGGCAGGTGCCAATTTCATTCCTTTGCAGCTTGCATTTGCCAGCTGTTGCATTGTTGTGTTAGACCAGGCCTGACTCTAAGGAGGGCAAAAACTGTACAGGAGAAAACCTCAAAAATAAAGCAGAATACAGATATCATTAGTCTTCTCTGTCTGCCTTTGCTACAGGGAAAAAAATCTGGATACACCAAGAAACAGTAGCTAGATATTTTTCAGTGTTGATTATTTTCTGAGTTTTCTTTAATGATACTAAAGACAACTCTGAAGTAAGGAACAGTCATTTTACCATACCCTCATGAGTAACTTGGTCAGGCTGCTGTCTGGCAACTGCAACGCCAGATGGATAAGCTAGCTGCAAGGAAACCAGAATTTCTGTAGTCTGTTACTTCAGAGCAACCTTGCCAGCACGATATCAATATGTAAATGCTGCTATTTAGCTGCTATTTAGCTTGAAAAATGATACAAATTAGAAATAGTAAATCTATGTCATTATTCTGATGCGGTGTACTTCAATTCAGTATTTTCCATCTGAAACTTGACACACGTTTCTGGGCACAATTACTAAATAGGCCCCCCCCCTTCAAAAGCGGATGAGTCACCCAGCCCCGTTCTACTGAGTTGTACGCTGAGCCTTGCTTGCTCTTAGGCTTTCTAACAGCTGAAAAAGTGGGTTTATGTAACACCTAGACTTAATAGTTTTAAAAAACTTGACAGATAGAAATTGAAGTTTAATCTTCTAACGCTGTGCTATTAAACCATAACTTCTGGTCATGATCAAACTGTGGTCTTGAAAATCCTAGAGTGGAAGATTCATATGCTATCTGCTTATCGGGAAGAACACCTTAAGTATGCTGTATAATTGTAAAGGAAAATGCAACGTACCTTATTATGTATGCATGTGGATTCTAGTCTAATCTTATTTCTCTATACTAGAGTTTGTCTTGGATTGTTAGGTAATTTCTCAGTTGCCTCAAACTACTATTGAAGTGTCTTATGAGTCCTCAGCGTTCCATAATTATCTTGCTGTTGAATAGTTACAAATCTGTATAGTGGGTTTAAAGTTGGACACTTCTTTTAAAAAAAAAAAAAAAAATTGTGAAAATTCTAGTAGCATGATGGATTTCTTTTATATTTCAAATGTGCACATTGATGTTTTGTTCCATCCTTTTTTTTCTTCCTAATATTGATTGTGTTTTGGAAGAGGGATGGTGTATGGGGGCTTTGATTTGAGTAGAAACTGGGACGTGACTGTAAGTTTTGCTCCTGGTCTATTCTGATGTACTGGGAATCACTCTGTTATGCTATCTGTGTAATGGAGTCTGATCTCCTTGCAGATAAAAGTATTATAAGACCTAGAAATAATGAGTTTAAATGTACAGCTTCTTTAGCCTTTTAAGTATGGGCAGAAAGACCCCAATTTAATGTTAGAGAAGAGCTGTTTATGTCAGCGTGGATTTGTGGCCAGTGTATCCTGTAATAATGTTCACTGGCTGTGTATGGTCAATGCATCCTGTAGTAATGCTCACTGACTCTGTACAGTCAGACTCGGGAAAACTCCTTAGCAGTTTACAAATCAGTGCTCAGGTTTTACAATGGGTGAGTGTGTACCACTGAAAATAGCAAAAATGGAGTAGGAAGTTTTTTTTCTGATTTTTATCAATGTATTATTTTTATGTACGTTCAGTAGGACTACACCTCTGAAACTGTTGCTCTTCCTCTATTTCCAATTTAATTACGTTTTGCATGGAACTATCTGCAGAATTATGATAAAATGTAACATATCTTCTAGCAATTTTGTTGTCTTAAACACAGTAATTTCTATATTGAATATTTCTTTGTGAAAGAAGTTTTCTTTTATAGTAAACTTTTATAGAAACTTGTGATGAAAAATTGTTGTTGAAATAGCTGTTATTTTAACGCTAAAATTGCTTTTTCTAATAGATATGATTTTTTTTCAGACACTGCCAGAAGCATCCATATCCAGTTATGCTACAAACTTGAAAGACAAGAGTGCTCTGGTTTCGTCTCTTTACAAAGTAATTCAGGAGCCACAAAGTGAAGTGAGTATATCAGATGTCTCTGATATAAGATACGTCTGATGTAATGGCAATAAAAAAAAAAAAAAAAAAAAAAAAAAAAGCTTGCATGCTAGGTAATTGTGTTCTAACTAGTTGTCTCAGAACTACAGAGCTCCTGCTACAAAATACTTTTCCTCCTAATTTTATTAGGATATGTTCTTAGCAATGACAGTAGGATGGAAACTGCTCACCAGTTTTGTTACATACACAACATAGCTAAGCTGGTAGATTGTGCTGAAGGGCTTCAGGACTTGGGTACAGAACTGAGGAGTATGTTAAAGAACTGAGAAGGTGTTTAAGACTGACTGAATTTTTTCTGTAATTCAATATCACTTGAATGTGAATCTATAACTGTCAGAAGCTTATCTGTTATAACCCAAGAGGACAATGTTCGGTAGGTTTGCAATCCTTCCAAGTTATTGTGTAGGTGTTAGGGCTTTTTGTTGTTCTAAACACTAGTAAATATATGCATTTGTACAACAGATGTACGTTTGCTGAAGTGATGGCAAAAGAAAACCCCTTTCACTTCCTTAGAAATTTCTTGAGGGGTAGGTTTGCTCTGCGCATGTGCAAGGGATGGTCCATACCCCATGGCTGCAGTTTTTTTCATGTGTCTAGGTAAGATTGGAACAGACTGAGCTGGTTTTGATTGGATCTTGGTAACTGTATTTTCTCCCTTTCTACCATCTAACAAAGCCTTGTATATGAGTTGAGAAGGCGTGTTCCAAAACATCAATATTATTTGAAAACAGTATTACTTGAAAATTGTTGCAAGTCCTTCATTCCTCTTCTGAAAAGACCTAGCATATGGAACTTTGCCAAAGTTTATGATGATGCCAATACTGGGCAGAGGGTAAAATACTTCCCATACAGGTGTGTTTTTAGAGAGGACGCTGGTAGAAAAATTCCCAGGTTTTCCAGTAGAGAAGAAATGCTGTTACTTTTCTTTATGTTGCTCAGAAAGGCATTCTGGGTCATTCCAACTTCTGACTTAAGGCTGCCTGGCCTTCAAAATACATGTAACTATATAAATTAATCTGAGGAGTCCCCTGTTGATAGCTTTCAGTTGGTACTTCCATATGTTCTTTGATTTCTTACTACTACTGGCTATGACCAGGTTTCTCATGGACCTTAGTAGCAGAGTGGCCGAGGCCCTGATAATTCTGCTCAAGAGATCTTTCAGATAATTCTGGGACAAGGTATCAAAGAATTCTCTATTAAGTGAAACTTTGAATTGAAATGAAAAGTCAGCGTTAACATGTGAAAGTGTTGTGAGGCCCTGAGAGAACAGTCCTAAAATCTTTATTTGGGCCATTCTGAGTATCTGATATTTTGTGGAAAGCACTGCTTGAGGTTTCGACATTGTGAAAATACTTAGAAGTAAGCACTTAAAGATGAGTAATTTCTTTCCTCTCAACTGTTCTTTGAGATCTGTTACCTGCATTGTATAACCGCAGCCTGCATTGTAGTTTAGGACATGTGCTGTCCTTTCTTATCCTGTGCATGTTATGCCAAGGAGCAGGATTGATGCATGAACCCTACAAATACTGCTGAGATAAAAACAGGCGAACAACCCTCCACCCCCATTTTGATACCTTTGAATATATGTACTTCTAATGTGATAATTATCTGTGCCTTAAAATTGTATTTAATCTCACCTTTGGGGGATATAATTAATTTACTTAATAGCATTTGAAGAGTAACAATGTGTCTTTGCATCCATGATTGTGCATTTTCCAAAAGCATGTTTGCTTTTCATATGCTTTTTTTGTTTGCATTTCCAAAGGCTTAACGTTTGAGAGAGAAAATGAACTACTTATGTATGCTGCAGCCAATTCATAGTAGCTTTGCTGGTAAACTTTGAGATTATTGGGCCATAAATGATGGAGAAAAATGTAATTTGATACACGGAGAGTCTCCAGTAGGTATGAAAATTTAAGGTGATACTTCATTGCGTAGACATTTGAGGGTCAACCTTAAATTTTTTTGAGGAAGTTTATTCCTTTAGAAAATAAAGGTGGTTGTTGTTGTTGTTATTTTATATGTAAAGCACTGTTGTTGTGCTCTTAGATAATACCCTTTTTATTTCCTAATGCAAATGCCTGAAGGAGTGTTTGGATTGTCTAACGTACTTGGATGCAACTTAAAAGGAGCAAGGATGAGATTACTAGGATATTTTTCTGTTCTAGCATTAAAACCCTTGTCTCAGTCTGGTTTTCATACCTTTTACAATTGGTCTAGTGTAAAACAGTATTTTGAAACAGCAACAACTCATCAGTGGGTTTGCACATTAGGTTTTATCATGCTGTGGTGGCATTTTGAGGAAGAAAAGCTGTTTCTGTACTGATTACATTTGTAAACTTGTTGATTTGAAGCTGTCTCAACTGAGATAACAGTATGAACATGGATACTTGTCATAGCTATTTCTGTCCCTTTTAAAGTTCAACTACATCATTCCGAACCTGCTGCTTTATTAAATGAAGCATGCAAATTATTTGAAAAATAAAAGCTGAAGAAGGAAGGCATTTGCGCTGGTAAGGTTTTTCAGAAGGATCGCTGACATTCTGCTTTTAAACTGACAAGTCATTTAAGTTTGGCTTGCCTTTTTGCCTTTGTAGATTTTTCATAAATGATTTTCCAAAGACAAGTTGCATATATTGGAAGATTAAGAAATGCTGCTGTTAGTGTGTTGTGTGTGGTGTGTGTTTTTTTTTTTTTTTTTGATTTTTCCCAAATGTCTACTACTGAAAGAAACCCACTAATCCTCTAGGTGTGTTGCATTTGAATCCTTCCGTCCTTCAGAGATTTGCAGCTGGAAAATGTCATATTTTGTGTAATGACTTTTTTTCCCTTTAAAAATACCAACTGGAGTTGGTTTTTAAAAAGTTAGGAACGGTGGGAATCTCAGATTTCGTTTTGTGAAGTCTGCTGATAGAAGTGCATCAGGAGTCTAGATTTTTTCAAAAAATGGTTTCTTAGATGGTAGGGTCCTTTTATTTGCTACTACTTGCAGATACATGATTTAGAATATATATTTTCTAAATTCTTGACATTTTCCATTGTCTATCTCAAACCTAGAAATAAGCAGAAGTTTCTGAAAGATTTAGATAAGAATAGGAAGATTGACTATACAGTTCAAGCAGACTTAAGAATTAGTCAGTTGTAATACTTTGAATATGGGTGTTATATTGCTTTCACTTGGTAGGTAAAAGTGTTTTTTTGTGTATGCTATTTGAGCTCTAGAGTAATGAGAACTTCTCTTCAGATACTCTTCCTGTGTCTTAAATATTGAGGGCATGGTATAAGCTGTGGTCATAACCAGTACCCTCTATTTACTCCTTTGAGGCTAGAGGAAGAGAGCCAAAAATGAGAGGAGGGAGCTGTTGGTATTCTTCCTTCAGGTGGGATGGAGGACTCCACTTTCATCATCTGGAAGTACGTTATAAGGGATGAAAAGTGTGTAATGTGCGACTTAGGCAATTATTGCATCACTTCCAAATAGCTAAAATGTAGTGTTTATAACCTTATGGTTTTGTCCAAAGGATTCATCAGTTTTACTTCCACGCAAGGTGCAATTTCTTGTAACGTTTTATGCCTTAACAGTTGTAATTTGTGTTTCAGCTCCTGGAGCCGGTTTGCCATCAGCTCTTTGAGTTTTATCGCAGTGGTGAGGAACAACTACTGCGGTTTACACTGCAGTTTCTACCAGAATTGATGTGGTGCTATCTTGCTGTCTCAGCCAGCAGAGATTTGCAGAGCAGTGGTTGCATAGAGGCTCTTCTCCTAGGAGTTTACAACTTGGTTTGTATTTGCGCATAATTATTCAGGTCTAAAAATACTAGTGTGCTTTTTGGGGATACTATATAGAATAATTTGCTGGGGAATAATGGTAAGTTTTTTGTTTCAGAACTGAAATGAAGTGATTAGGTATCTAAAGAGGGAACTATTTTATGGGCTCTTGCAAATTTTGATTCTTGAAGGTGATGCCCTAGTCTGAAATCTACATCATGAACTTTAGATTCTTTCATCTTGGTGAATATTTTTTTTTTGCTTTTTCCTCTGGTTCTTGGGAAGTGTAATGCACTAATAGCTGAAGGGGCCAGAGGAGTACTTGAAACAATCTTTTTTCTAGACATTGTGGTTAAACATACATTCTGCTTGAGACTTTTTAGAGGAGCTGCTTTTGAAGTAATCGCTCATGTTTTCTGGGTATCTTGGCTGTTAGAGGAATTGCAAAAACTTTGCTTTCAGCAGACTTTTGGTCTTTGATTTTGAACAGATTGTTCAGATTTGAGAACTTAACAGGTCTCTTTTCATTTTCATCTTCATTTAATAACCTTTTTCATATTTATATGAAAAATTACTGTTTTGTATTAAATTGTGACTTTGAAGAACACAATAATGAAGGAACCTTAACAGTGCCATATTTTAGTTACTGCAGGCAAAATACATTTAATCTTTCTATGGCTTCTCACTTTCTATGAGAAGTTTAGTGTTATGTCTTTTGGGATTCTTTTTAGTGTAGTTTACATGTTCTGGATGTGTTAGGAAGGCCTTTTGGGAAGTGAAGCAGTGATGAAATTTGAGGTCTCCTCTTCCCACTCTGAAATTCTGGAGAAGGCATTGCCTGTCCCTCTTCTCAGACCAACCTTGAATGTCTTTGTGCCAAGCTAATGAAAACATTTTCTTCTAGGAGGCTACTTAAATACCTGAATTAATATACTCAATTCTGTATTTGGCAGAATACAGGCTATACGTGCTTTCTATCTTCTTAATTGTAGCCGAGAAGAAAAGCATTCCTGGAAAGCATATGGTGCATCTTATGCCTCTAGCTGATTCACTCCTTTATTTCCGTGACAAAAGCATCTAAAATAGTTAAAATATGTGGCTCTAATCACTCGTACCTCCTAGGATTAAAGATATTTACAGTTAGGCTTGAAACCAGTGCAGTAACTGGCTCTCTTCTCAGAGCTTCTTCTCTTAGCGCTGAGCAGTTTCTTCATCAATTACTGCCGTAGCCATCCCATCTCCAGTTGCTTGGGGTCAGAGGAGTTTTACAGCAAGCCTCTGTAGGAAGCTGTAGACTGATGAAATTTTTGGAAACAATTTTTTTTTTTGCTGTTGTGCTTTAACACGTAGCAAATACTAATGCTAAAGCAATGCCAAGTTACTGATGCTGATTTCTTTGCCTCTGTTAATGTTATGTAATACTTACGATTTAAACAATCGGGATGGTGTGCTGTTCTTTAGTATACCAGGCTCAAAAGGTAAGAGGTGATCTGCTTAAATACTTATTTTATTAGATACAAATAGCAACCCTTCTGTAAATAAGTGCAGTGATCTCTTGGAGTCTGAGGGGAATTAACATCCTGAATTGAGTTCTGCACTCTTTGTGAAGCAAATTGAACTGTTTAATATTGCTGAGAATAATTGTAAATTCACTACATTGTGAGGGGCTGAACTTAATATCATGAATTGGTTTGTTCTACCTTCAATTTGAGGTAAAGCTGAAGAACAGACTTCACGGAGGTAGATAGTGCATGCAGTTGATTTTTTTAGCTTTCCTGGCTGCAGGTATCGGTTTTTCTAATGTACTTCAGATCTTGAAATTTACTCCTGAAACTTAATTGTAAGTCAAATCAAAATATTAAAAAAGTCAATATTTTGACATTTCATTTTAAAGTTTGGATATAGCTATCTTCTTTCCCCTTCCAAATATTCAGGAAACTGATTTCCACACTGATGCAAAATTAAAGGGTAAGTAACTTATGTGGAGAACGAAGGAGCAGTATGACTGTATTCAGACTGAACAGCTCCCTATGCCTTTGTGATATTTCTCGGTATTCCTTTCCCCCATTGTATTCCACTTTAAGACAAGGATTTTAATGACTAGCATGTGAAGTTAGTCCTTCAACCTAGTGACTTCTGAGAAGGAGTTGTTAAGAGACACTTTATTGAAGCTCCTCTCTCCACCTTTGAGTGTATGGAATCTGCTGCTGAACAAAAACATTGGATGATAACGTTCAGAATACAGAACTGTGTGGCGGGAATCTGGAAGCACTCTAATTAATAACTCAGTACTAGAAGATAGAGAGAGGTGGAGTCAAAAAGGGAATATACTGTCTAAATACACGGTATGTACAGGATTTCTCTTTCTGAACTTTAGGATCTTTATATGAGACTGGCTGAAATCCCAGAGATCCTGAATGTGTGCTTGATGGGGAAATTAGGTTAACTGCAAGCCAAACCTCCAAGGTGCAGCCAATAATCCTTCCCACAGAAACTGGGATGTTGCCTTCCCTAAGTATCATTTTCTTCTTGACAAGAGTTACTAAAAGTACTCTTTGCTATAGCTGTGCCAATTGCCATTGCTGTCTCTTGTAGATCCTGACAGTGCTGCAAAGTGTTCTTGTATGCGTGGTTTTGGTCTGGCAGCTCAGAACAAAAGCTTCAGAAATAAGAAGTTCTGAAGTACTTCAGTGTTCTTCTGTGATACCCTGGCACATCTTTTTGGCCTTACCCTTTAGTCTTCCACTTATTTTTAGCAACGGGAAGTCTGTCGACCTACTATTGTGGTATTATCTTTCAGGAAAGTGGCTTCTCTAAAGCTTTGCATCTATTCTTTTTTCATAGATTCCTTTTCTTCTCTAAGTATATAACTATCAAACCTGGACTTCTGTAAATATTTTGATATCTGCTATGATCAAACTATGAGGCTGCACTTGTTTCAGAGGCAAAACAAATGGCTTATAGAGCCATTATTCTGTGAGTGAATAGTTTTCAGAACAGAATTATCGAGCGTTAACCTTCACAAACAGCAATTAGCATATAATTAAAAATATGGTAACACTGTTTAAATATATTGAGATTTCCAGTTAGTCTTTTTTAAGGTAGCCAATAGCTATGAAAATGCGTGTGCCCTTTGCTAAGTAATTTGAATGTTAAAAGCAAATGTACTGATGTTATTTTTCAGAAACAAAACTGAGCTACTGTGTTAGGAAGCAAATAAAAAGATAATTTCTAGCTTGCAGCTTGGATCGTGATAGTGCCCCTATGTGTTCAGTAATAATTGATTTGTTTTCCTTATCCGCTTACTCTCTTCTAGCATTTAACGTTTTTGAATGCTTGGTTTCTGTAGTACAGCGTAACCCTTGATGCCTTTGTCTTTTGCAGGAGATAGTTGACAAACAGGGCCATAGCAAAGTGCTGAGTTTCACAATTCCGTCTCTGTCCAAACCTTCAGTCTATCATGAAGTAAGTGACTTTTAAAACATGAAGTTGTTACTGATTGTGAAATGCCATATGCTTTTTGGGGCCTGTCAGTTAGGAATAAAAGTGAAAATTAGTTTGACATTTTGCATGATGATGTAGTAATGTAATTGATTACTGCTGATTGGTATCTCTGAGGCCTTTTCAAGTCTGAATAGTAATAACTGCATAATGTCCGTGCACCAGCTATATATTTGTTTCTTCTCCCAGGCCTTGCTCCCTGTCTAGTGTAAAATAACCTCTCAAACCCAAGACTAAGTAGTAGTCAGATAACCTTAAGCCAGTTGAAAACTTGTATACAATGATGTTGATCTGTTGTCTGTTTTTAACTTGCATTGTAGCAAGGCTTCAGGTTTTGATTGGCCTTTTTTCTTTAGCCTTCCAGCATTGGCTCCATGGCTCTCACTGAAGGAGCTTTATCCCAGCATGGTTTGTCCAGGGTTGTATACAGTGGACCTCATCCTCAAAGGGAGATGTTAACAGCACAGAACAGGTAAACCGTATAATAAGATTTTACTTGAGAATCATTAATGAATCTTAACATCTTGTATTAAATATAGCTAAGACTTAAGGTATATGATTTTTTTTTCCTTTTTTAAGCACGTTTAAATGTGGATGCATAAAGAATGGGAGCACATATTACAACATGTAGGGATGAGACAATTTACAGACCCAAACTACTCAATTATCAATAACTTTATTGAAATACAATACCAAGTCTATTCAAATAAAACTCTTGCATGTTTCTATATCAACTTGTTTTATTTCTTTTTAGAAAGTAAAAGTGGCAATCTAATCTCTGATGTCCCTTGTAAACTCCAGGTTCAAAGTGCTGACGTTCCTTCTACTCTGTTACAATGCTGCCTTAAGCTACATGCCTGCAGTTTCTCTTCAGTCATTGTGTCAGATTTGTTCAAGGTAATTTCAGTAAACTTATTACACTTAAAATGGTATTGTCAACTTGAAATGTAATCAATTTGAGTGTATTTAAAAAAAAAAAAAAAAAAGTTCAGGTACCTGAAAGCTGCTTGTAGACTTGACTTTTTTCATAGGTGCTTATAGTTGCATTATTTCTGTTTAAAGTATCTCTTATATGACTTTGGGTTGAGATCTCAAAATAGGGGAAGCCATAACATGATTTAAATGCAGTGTTGTCCAATGGAAAAAGAAATCAAAGTGAGGGAGTTATGTCTGTTTTGAATTATAGTAGTTGTAAGTGTTTTAATTAAATAAAATCAGAAATATTTTCTAAAATCTTGACAAAGCTTGCGTTGCAAGCTTATTAAAAATATTTGGATGCTGTGCAAGTTGAAACTTGCTTGAAAGTATTTCTGGTTTCAAGATCTAGTATAAGTTCATTCTTGCATGTATTTTGGGTGTTTCCAAGATACGATGCTACTTTTTACAAGACGAATTACCTCTACTTTAACTATAATGTCTACTTTTGACCCATATCTCTTTTTAAGAGGAGAAATGGTACTGAACATGTCTGTGCCTAAGATTCTGGAAGTGGACTTTTGTTTAAGGAAAATATTAAAATGTTTTTGTTAGCCCAGGAGAACCAAGATAGAATCAGAAATCAACTATAGCAGCTCCCAGTCATCACTTCAAGGTCCCAGATTCCTCACACAAACATAACATGGTAATGGATGCTTGTAAGGTTCATCCTCCTCTGGAGGAGATGAGAGAACACTGAGAACATGTGAATGTCTTTAAGAGTCTTTCCAGGAAGAAATTTGTTAGATATGGTCATCTAAAATTTAAGATAGAGAAATACTTAGCAGCTAAGGACTATAGACAGGAGACTGATGTTGCTTATTCTGCTTGGCTAGGTTTTGGATTATATTTGGCATCGACAATTTAAAGAAGCCTCCAAAAAAATCCAAACGACTTCCTAGCAGGTGCAGACAAGCCTTCCTCTAGTCAGAAATGTTGAAGCTTTGGATACTGAATGATCTGATGTTATAATATTTGACTTTTGCTATCTTATTTCTTCATTTCCTGCTTGTTTTGGCATCCATGCTTCTCTACTCACTGGAAAATCTCCTACCTGACAGCAAGTTAGGGATTCAAGGGAATGTGTCAGAGGATGAAAATGTCTCTCATTATCTTTTTAAAATGTGGAGCTGACAAAGTTCTCATAAGAATCTGTAGAATAACTCTTCAATTGGTTTGAGCAGTACTGGTTATAAGTTCCTTTTTGGGCGATCTCTTTTGTATGAAAGATGTACAGTGAATGTGCATTCTTCTAGAAAAGTCCAGTTCAATTTTTATGACTTTTCTAAAGAAGCACAACCATCTAGTACTTTTTATTTATTATATTTACAAAGCTTAAACTTACTCTGTGATAGCAATTGCAGCACAAAAATATTTTTAGCTGATCTCGAGTGTTATAAATGCAGACTTTTGCCTTTGGGCACTTTCAGTGATAGTCTCTGTTTTCATAAAATTATCTTACTCTGAAAAGTGAAGCAGTTCTGCTGATGTCATTCAAGCCTTTTTATGAGAAGTAGCTCAGGCTAGAGTAGGCTTTTTAAAATTGATCAATATTGGCATTAATAGAGTACCTATATTAAGATGGATCTTTTCTATAACCTTATCAGTGTAACTGATCACATTCCTACTGCAAGTTCACTATCTTTTCCCCAAATGCTTTTTGTATCCTTACACTATCACATCTAATAAATGCATAAGTACATATATTTGCATGAAAATGACCTAGTTAGATTTTTTATCTCAATTAGCATTTTTGCTTAAACTAGAGACTCATATCTAGACAAATATTTGTTTAAACTAGATCCCTCCCTCCATCCCCCAGCTTTACCCAATGCTGAAACGCGTGTTACTTTAGTGAACTGTAACAGTTGTCTTTGAGCCAAACTATTGGCAGAAACTATGGAATATCTGAAACTAAGGTGTTGCTTTGATTTTTGAAAACCTAACTTGTGTTATAGCAGCCTCTTCTGGGGGAAAAAGAAGGGGAATATATGATGGGTGATGCATATTTTAAAAAAATATTTTTGGGGGAGGGTTCAATTCAGTTAATTTTGGTAGCTAGCTTATGCCATCTGAGAATTAGATAGAAGCTTTCGTGCTTCAATTTTTACCATATATGGCCAAAACAAAATGTGAGAGGATGAACTCTGCTGTTTCTAGCGTCTTAAACATGTTTCTCGGAAGAGTCAGTTTGATTCACTAACTGGAGGCGAAGTTTTTGTTTTAGCTAGCTATCAAAATACTGTGCAGATTAACTTCATATATTGTATATTTGCATTCTAATTTCTAAAAATTTAATGTTGTAAGCTATTTGAATAGTTTGACACAAATCACAATGTAATCTGAAGTGAATATATTCCTTTCCTAACAGTAATGAAACAGAAATTATTAATCTGAATGATTATGCAGGAAGTACTTGAATGGTGTATGCTTGTAGCCAACAACTATATCAAATTTAGAGGAAGAACTTGCATTTATTTACAAATTAACATGTTTGGCCATTCTGGAAAACCAAAATTCAAAACTAAGCAAGTTTTTTAAAAAAACTAAGTGTTTTTTAGAAATATGACTTTAAATGGTTGCATTCAATCACTTGAAATTTCATTTGTGCCAGTATGAGAAATTCATACTTAAGGTTGTAAGCATCAGTGAGAATTATAACTGAAAACTGATTCTCAGAACAACAGTTGACCAACTTGGTAAGTGACAGCACAAGCTTAGGGCTTATGGAATTACTCTTTGATAACAGATGAGTGTATAGTGAAGTAAGTGTCTTACTCCTTGAAACATTTCAACGTTCTTGAAACATTCTTGTTTCCTTACATATTGATACTGGCATGGCTCCCTGTATTTCTTGATGCAGTCTTAATTTTATTTATTTATTTTTTTGGTTGGAGATTCAGCAAAATTAGTGTGAGGAGTCAAATTGAGATTGTGCTAGTACATACTGGGAGAGTTGTTGAGCCATGCAGAGCTTGGGGGTATTGTTTGTTTGTTTATTGGAAATACCTAAAGCAGAAGATGAATTGCAGGATAGAGAGGGAGAAGAAGAATGCACAGTTAGTGGCAAGTTAGTGTTCCTTTAAAAAAAAGGCGAGGGAGGTCCTGAAATCGCTATTACGGATATAATTTGAAAGATACTGCAGTATGATCTTACAAGAACTCAGAAAGGTATTTTTTGACTCTGGGGGAGGGGGGGGAAGTCTAAGAGCAGTGTCACAAGAAGCTTTCTGATACTCAACTTTTTAGTCTATGCTTTGGAGAAGGGAATACTTTGATTAATATTATTAAAGGTCTTTCCAGCAGTTCAGTAATATGAAGCTGGCTGTTTTGAAAAGTCAATGAATTGAATACTTAGCCCCGAATATCTTTGATTTCCAAACTGTTTTGACTACAGAACCTGATGTGGAATTTGATTCAAAGCTAATCTCTAAAGCTGACTTTCACTGGGTTTCATAATAATTTTATAAATATGACACTCTGATCTCTTTGCTCTGAAACTTGTGTGCAACTTTATTTTATATGGAATGACATGCTTATGTCTCTATGAATATTCATAATTGATAGGCTACTTCCATTTTCCTAAATATGATTGTGGGAATTTTTGTGGATGGGCTTTTTTCCCCTGTTCAGTAGCAAATGCTTTCAATTCAGAGTTACTTACTGGCAACTTTTTTTGTTCTTGTTCAACTGCAATGTAAAAATAACGTGAGTGACTGGGATGTCTTCTATCTATTGTATTTTGAAGAGTTTGAACTCTGCCGGTAGAGGGCATATCCTTCTTTCATAATACTTTCAGTAGTAATCTGGTTCAGCACACATTTGTTGCTGGATACTTTTCTGTGGGTCTTTTGTAGTTAAAATGTATATTAAACACACAACTTTGATGTTCTGTACAAAGGTGGTTCTATGTTATTTACTAATGACGAATGCATGGTTTCTTTAGAATCTGTGTCTGTGGATATCCTCGCCAACAAGTGAGAAAGTACAAGGGAGTAAATAGCAGGATTCCAGTTTCTTCTGAATTTATGGTGCAAATGCTAACGGGGATTTATTATGCCTTGTGAGTTTTTTCTTTTTTATATATATGCATACAAATGTCAGCTTAATTTGCACATTCATGAAGGCATACGTCCTTTCAAATGTTTTATTTCCTAGTGGATAGGAGTGTGTCTAGTAGTATGGTCATCAAGAAGAGAATGCACTTCAGCTAACTAGTTGCAGAACTAATCCATGTAATATTGGAGAAAGGATGGGCTAGCACTTATTGGGTGTAACTGGTGATGTGAAAGTCTTTGAATAAGTTTTCCCAGCTGTTGACTACTGCCTACGTTTCTGCTTACGTAGTTTTGACATCAGTCTAGTTAAGGAAAAAAGAAATTTTACCGCTGCTTCTTTGAAGTGCTGATGTCATTCACCCTTTGATAGTCATGTTGATGTGTGAAGCTCTCTTATTAACTGAAATAACTGTTATTAAGACTAGCAACACAGGAATATTCAAAAGGTGGAGTAATATTAGAACAATCCTGTTTGAAGTTAAGAAAATGTCACGACTAGGTAATCAACAACTATTTCTGTCATTTTTATACTGCTCAGGGTAGTCAATGAAAATAAAACTTGTTCCTCCTTAGACACCTCTTTGGAACAAATTTTCTAGATAGCAGGCATGATAGGCAGTAATTAGTTTAACTTCCTTGAACCTTCAAGGAATACTATATCTGTGGATGTCATGTGACCAAGAGGGATCATCAGTTGATTAGGTGCTAATTTTTATGTATGAACTTATTTTTATAGTTATAATGGAGAATGGGATCTGGCTCGTAAAGCTATGGATGACATTTTGTATAGAGCACAGCTGGAACTGTATCCAGAACCTCTGCTGGTAGGTGCTGTATTTCAACTTTGAGCAGAATTTTTAGTCCAGTAAACTTTTCTGATGAACACACACCCTGGTGCAACATCATACCAGGAATCTAAATCCCACAAGGTCTTTGTAGTTGGGCTTAGGTAAATAGCTACACCTATAAGTATATAGACACAGACTTTTTTTATTCTCTTTTTTATTTTACCGTATCCTCTAGTGTACAAGTCCTTTACACTGAAAGACTTCCAAGTCTTGAAGGTTTAGAAGATGCAGAAAGATGCTGGAGTTCATGTTGATTTAAACTAGAAGCTTTGCTTTAAATAGTGTGATGAATTTTAAATAAAACTTAGTTCTGAGAGAGAACAGAGAAAATGCAGCTAGGCTTTTTTTTTTTTTTTTTTTTAACGACGTCTGCAAAACGTTAGTGTGCTTAGCAAAATGTTAGCGTGGTTATTTGAACTTAAACTGGAATTATACGGAATACTCTTCTTAGAATAATAAGAATCTCCTTACATAATTCTTCTTAACAAAAAGCTCCAAATTTTAGGAGAACTTACCTGTATTTGTTCCGTTCTAGGTTGCTAATGCAATAAAAGCTTCGCTGCCCCAGGGTGCCATGAAATCTAGTAAAGAAGGTACAAGATGCATTCAGGTTGAGATTACACCTACTTCCTCTAGAATATCAAGAAATGCTGTGACTAGCATGTCTATCCGAGGGCATAGATGGAAAAGACATGGTAAGAAACATTATTTGCAATAAATTCTGAACTTTTTAATCCTATTTAAAGTGATATTTAGGTTTTGGTTTTCGCACATCTTCATTGTTAATTAAAATGCCTTCAGTGAGTGAATATTGTACATTAATTCTCTTTAGGTCGAGATTGCTTTTTTGAAGAGAATTATTGAGACTTTTAATATGGGTTTGAGGCAGTGATAAAACCGATTATATATGAAATGGGACGTGCCATTCTGCTGCTGTTAGTAAGCAAACAGCAATTTGGAGGGTGTTTTTTTTTTTTTTTTTTATAACCAGTGAGTGGAAATCTTAATGCAGTTCAGATGAAGTATTTTCTCTATTTCTTTGCTTGACCATGTTTGGATTTTTTTGTTTGTTTTTTAGCCAATTTCTATTAAAGGGAATTGTACAAAATCACTGAATTTTTAAAGAAGCTGATGTTCCTGTTTTCTTCTGAACAGGAAGTACCTGAAGCAAAGCCAATATATATGTAACAGCATTACCATTATATTTAATATTCTTACCACAAAACCTCATCTGTGTTAAATTACTGAAATAAAACTGGGACTTGAAGATAGTCAGATAAATTTTTATTTTTAGGGCAGATTAACATAAGTGCTTCTAAAAAGTTGAACACAGGTCCGTGGTGAAAAGTGAAAAAAGATGGTGCTGAATGTGCTGCAGAAAGAAACGTTATATTCCACTACTACCCGCTTCAGATGAAGAAGAGCGGATCGACCAGAGATCAAAACTTCTCATTGCTTGCTCTCCTGAGCTAGTAATTCTGATCACAGGTTAAGGAAGTGAGTGAACACTTACACTGAACCTATTAAAAGAATATTCTGGCTTTTAAAGTTGTATCATAAAGACTTCTTGTATAATGCACACTATGAAATTTTACAGTGTATAGGCAATGCAATTAGAAAAATATTACAAAATCCCTTGTCATAACGGACCTAGCAGTTTTTCAGGCAAGTGTTGAGAAAATTATTTATATTTATGCTGATAGAAAATGACTTTAAAATAATGACTGAACTTTCTGAGTAGTGATGATACTCACTGGTGGTAGTACCAATAGTAAGCTGCCCAGGGGCAAAGAAATTTAAAATAATCAACTGAAAATTTTGATTAAAAACTGCTTAAAACTGTCCAACACAGTTGGAGAGTTAAAATATTAGCATCTTTAACTTGAGTGAGGTTCTATAGAAATGTTAAGATGCTAAGGGGCATTTTAGCCTTTTGTGTTTATTTTCCTTTCTTCAGGCTGACGGTTCTTAAGCAGGGAGTATTCACCAAGTGCCAGAAATCTGTACGATAGCTTAGCTTTTAAATGGAGAAATACCCTCTGAAGTCTAGCAATTTTGTCTGCTATTATTTTTGAGTTGTTCCGATGTTCATTCAAACTAGGTAACAGAGAGGAAAATGGACCAGTGATGTTGAATGTTAGCTCGTTCAAAGGAATTGGAAGCATGTTAAAACAAACGTCCCCTTACTCTTGTCCTTACAGAAAAATGTAATACAAAAAATGTTACAGAATCAGTGTTGAAACTATCCTTATGAGACTGCAGATTTCTTAGCAAATACTGAGATCTGGGAGTTTTTACAAAAACCTATGATCTAGTATTTCCTTCTTGTGTGGGCGATACTTGAGATTCAAGAGGAAATGGGTAGGACAGTTGCGTACCACAGTAGATAACAGTAAGGTGGAAGAAATGAGAATAACAGTAGAATTCATAGAAATGGGAGGGAAGAATGCTGGGTTTTAGGGCAGCCTCATATAAAGCAGGACAAGTTGAGAGAGAAACAGTAGTGTAATCTAGTTCTAGTTAGTATGACTTGAGCAAGGAGTGGTCAGTGTTTAGGAGGTGTTAGGTTTGGAAGATTAAGGACTTTTAGTAAAAATCTCTCTTGTCAACTCTTTATCTGAGTTGTTGAGAAAACTTCCAACTTGCCTCAATAGTAGCACACAGGATTTAGTAGGGGAAAAAAGTCACTTTGTGTAGTGATGGGGGAAAAAACTTGTGTGAGTAATTGTAAATCTGAAGGCTGTGGAAACATTAGGGTAGTTTAAAAGCTAAAACTGAATCTACAGTATTTTGACTGACTGAGAAACAATTTGTTTTGATTTAAATGGCAAATGTTCCATGTATTGTACCACTTCAGATAGCCTCCTCAAAAATGTTGTTGCAAAATACTAACAAAATTGTTATTTATGACTTAAAACCTGAGTGGATTGTATCCTGATTTCAAAATTCCTAATAACAAACTGCCATGCCCCATAATCCCTGATGGAAGAAAGAACTGCAGGGTAGGCATGCAGAGAGAATGAGCAAGGCCTGTGTTTACAGATGTATGTTTGAGTTAAAAACGAATATTGGAGTTAGTAGAAGTCAGGTGGCAAACCTTGTTACTCCTGATCATTATCTCTCTCAGAGTGTGTGGGAGGGTAGATGGGCAGATGAATTTGGTAGTTTTATTTTTGTGGTTCAAAAAAACCAAGAGTCCTACAAAGAGATTAGGAAGCCAAACGCGACAGTGTGACGCTTAGAGCAAGTTTGGTCTTCTATGTTGCATGCATCACGAGACTCCCTGAAGCAAAAAATCCCTTGGAGAGCAAGGACAGCATTTTCCATCGCTGGCTATTTGTTTAAAAAAAAAAAAAAAAAACTACAGATTACTACGGGCTAATCACGTTTCCAGCTGAGAAGTGTGTGCTTTCTTTCTAGTAATTTTTTAAAATTACTTCTGTTTGCAGGCACTAGATCTTGCTTACCTTTGCTAAAAGTCTCAATCAAAGTCGGTTTTGAGAAAAGGTCAACTTTAGTGTTTTATCTTATTGTCATACTCAACCCTGCATGTAACCCTTTCATTTGAGCTGTTACTTAGAAGGGCGTTTTCTCAAGTCAAGTTGGTATTGTGAATTTGGACCTCTGACAGAGGTAGTAAATGGAAAGGCCATTAGGAAAATGGATCCATCTACTCACAAATGAATAGGATTTATAGAGTCAGTTGATATTAGCTACCACTTGTCCACGAATTATTTTGTGCTGTTGAATTGTTTTGCTTTTAAATTGTAAACCTAAAAAAGAGGATTTGACTGAGCATCAGTTTTTGTAGCGTTCACATTTTAAAAACAAGCCTTGGGTGAATGTAAACAGAGGAGCCGCAAGTGGAGGGGGAAAAAAAGGAAAATCATGCACTATGTAAAGCATGTAAACACTTAAATGAGTGGTTATTTATGGAAGCAAGGACAAAAAAATAAAGCAAGCCCAAGTAACGCTTTCCTTGCTAATGTAAAATTTGTATAACACTGCCCAGTAACAGGAGTTTTTTCAGTAGCTCTTTATGTAGAGATAGTGCATATAAGACACATACTCTGACATAACTGACTGAGTGAAAAGAACTGAGCAGATGTTGGGTAGATACATAGCAAAAAAGATGACATTGACTAGAGAAGAATGACTAAATGTTGTTTTTTCCTCATTACAATGATTGAAATTCAAGTACTGCACAAGTTTAGAGATATTAGTCTTTGAGACTCTATGGAGAGGTGGGGTTTTTTTTAAGCAGTGTTGGCTCCTGAAAGAGTTAATTTTTTTTTTTTTAGGGATCCAGAATGAATGTTAATTTGGGGATATAAGCTTGATACTTCTGTAAATAATTCAAAATTCAAAATGCTGACATGGCTGTAGAGGAGATGCAGCTTGAACTTGTGGTGGTTAAAATTCAGTTACAATCTAGATGAGCAGTTTGATTGTTTGGAAGCACTCATAATAAGGTAGACTATGACTGAAATACCTTTTGAATGAATTTTTAGCAGCTGGTAGTCATTAAATATGTTTATCAAAGTTGGTTGTACTACACAACACATTTAAAACTTGACTCCAAATGTGTTTTTCTTCAAATGTTATACCATATTTATGGTAGTTTTCAAGGTGACATATTTATTCAGTTTTGTCTATACGCTATTTAGCAATGTCCTTTAGCGTTTTCTCTTTTGCTACATTGTCTTGAGCACTGGATATTAATATCTCTTTCTCAGAAGAATAAACCCCCAGGCTTATCAAGTTCGAAGCAGTATTATCTTCAAAAAGAAATCTTTGGAAGCTGAAGGCTTGTTTTAGGTGTTTTTAAAACCTTTAAAAATGAGGATGGAATGCACCTATGAATCACAGAATCGTTTAGGTTGGAAGGGACCTCTGGAGATCATCTAGTCCAACCTCCCTGCTCAAGCAGGGTCACCTAGAGCATATTGCCCAGGATTACATCCAGACGGGTTTTGAATATCTCCAGCGAAGGAGACTCCACCACCTCTCTGGGCAACCTGTTCCAGTGTTCTGTCACCCTCACAGTAAAGTTGTTCTTCCTCAGGTTCAGATGGAACTTCCTGTGGTTCAGTTTCTGCCCATTGCCTCTTGTCCT